TGCTGATTACTTTTTTCCCCTTTAATAGACACATTGTACCACATTCATCTTCATTTTTTAAAAGACAGAATATTTCCATCTTTCATCCGTGTTACCATGAAAAGCTGACATCCTGCCATCTGTTCCAGGTCAATAAGGCACATAAGGCTGACAGCAGTACAGTTGCCTCCCCTTTCAAACCCCTAGAACAAAAGAGCACAGTTAAGGGTTGGACACCCACCGATGTAAACGTTCTGTAGACTAAATCATAAAATACCACCCATTTATTATTTGGCCAAGAGGAAGTCTTACTCTTGCTAAGTGTATCTACAGATCCATAAGTTTAGTTTACTGGCTCAGCAGCAAACATCAGTAGCTCCACCAGGCAAGTCATATACTGTGTATTATAGCAGAAAATAAAACACAAAAAACACAAAACAACTTTCATAAAAATTGTCAGCAAGTGAGCAAGCATTGAAAGAATAGAATAGGGACAGCTGGAAGATATAGAGTTTGACATAGTGTGGCCAGTGAAGTAAAGCTTGGATGAACCTTTTTTTTCAACTTGTCAAAAGACACAAGAGAGATGCATAAGATGCAGTGTTTTCCACAAGCAGAGCAGCAAACTGGGGTTTGACAGATGGAGATTGAACTGAAATTGTATTTTTATAAAAAAAGAAAATGTGTTCTTCCATCCATTCATCCACTTGTATTTTACAAAACTGGGGCCAGGCAGTAGTTGCAATCTGTGGAGCAGAGAACAAGAAAATGGGAATATAACATAAGGGAAGAAAGAAAAAGGACACACAGTGACACAAAGTTAAAGAAAAAATACGTTAGAACCGAAAGGCAAGAATGCAGGAAGAGGAATGATGAAAGGAAGCTATAGCAAATCAATGACTTTGTTAGAGAAAATAATATGGAGTAGGAAATAACATGATATTTCAACACAAACTAGCCACTGCCTTTCAAAGACAATTATAGGCATATGTATAAAACATTCCCTTTGGCAACATGTAATGATTTGTCATGAATTATTAGTTGTTTTCTTCCAAGCTGGAATATTGACGCTTGCCCTCATTGCAAGCTGCTTCACCAGTGTGGGTGCCCCCTATTTCATGGAATCATCATATCATTCCTCTTCTCGTGATTAGCGTCTTTTTCAGACAGGCTGAACAAAGTCCAAGACCTCTCGAGACCGGTAAACATATTGCCACAACCAAGATACTAGCTAGAATAGAACAGCTGGCGCCATGGTGCAGATTAGTTTTCAATAGAACCACATCTCAACTTTGAGCATAAATGATCAGGTTCTACTTTATATGAATGCTTACTGATCCGACAAAGAAGTCATTCATTTACTGGGCAGGCACAGCTCTGTTAAGGTTGGCGCTTCCTAGAGGGGGTGGATAAAAATATTTCTATGCAGACCTGTCTTTGCTATTCATTGTGCCAGGACAGGGAGAGAAAAAAAATATTTTGAATGAGATAGACCGTTTAATTAGATTGAAAGAAAGAAGGTAGAAGAGCTAGAATGATCCAGACAATCACCTAATTTCTTGCCAAAAGAAAATGTATAGACATGGGACAATTTACCAGAGACATTTTTTTCAGTGTGGAGAGTCCCTAAGAGTCCTATGTGGAGAGTCCTACCGGTAAGTTTGAACCATTAGAATTTCAGTAGGAAGACAATTAATCTCTATGTGGCCTGTCTGCCTCCAATTCAAAAACCAAAATGGAGAAACTTAGATCTACGTCTGAACCTGTCCAAATGTAAGCAGAAAAGGTTATAATATTAGTGAAGTCAAATTGGTGACATATTTTAAAATTAAAAACCATGTTTTTCTGTGTCTTGATTCATAAAACCATACATCACAGAGAAGTATAGGATACACAATAGCCTATTTTAACAGTAACTCCAAGCATCACTGAAAAGATATAGGCTGCCTGCTGTGCATGTAAACAATCATGATGAAGCAGCTTCTCTTAGAGAAATATTGTTGGCAGTTTGCTGCCACCTACTGTTCTCTAATTGAAACTACCGTGTGTTCTTGGACCAGGTCTTCTTCATATAGTCTGTTTTTATGTTTTGTTTTTCTTTGATAAAGACCGTTTTTAAGACCACAACGAAAATAATGATATTAAAATAACTGAAATGTTCTTGACAAGCGCTGAAAGGACAAAAAATGGTTATCAGCAAAAGGATGACAGCAACACGGAGAGTGGTGTTCTAAGTTAATAAATTTGACAATTGCCAGTGTTCTGTATGCATTAGGGTAAAGAGTTGCAGGCTTAAAGGTTGATGCCCAAAATCTGACAATAAGCTTATAAAAGCTTCTAGGCGAAGGTTTTATAGTTTTAATCAAACCAAAAGTAAATGTCTGTGTTTGGCTCATCAAAGAAAACTGCATACCATTGAAAAACACCATGTCCAGAGTGACATAATAACCTGCAGTAAAATGCAGAGGGGTGACTGGGTAATGCCACAACAAAGACACTTGCTAATAAAGAACAGCAGGTGTCAGGGTGCAGAACAACTGTGAGAAGAGCGACATCTCAACTTCGAACAGAAATAATCATGTTCAGTCTTGATCAATCTATTTTATTCTGATGTGCATCTTGTACATGGTATACTTAGCAATATATGAAATGGTTATTCATCATCTCTTTCAGAAAATATATTGACATAGGACTGGCAGAGAGCTTAAAATGTTAACATAACAATGGTGAATTCTGTATGCTTAATGTTTAAGGCCTTTTATATTATATTTGCTGCTAGTATTAGCCCACATCTCCCTATTGTATTCCTTGCAATTGTTTTATGTGTTTAACACCAACCTGTTAGTGGGTCTGGAGAAATTAGCTACCTGTGTCTTACTCATTTAATTTTTATAAATGCACTGCATATTTGATAAAAAAAAAAGAAAAAAAAAAGAAAACAACAGCAAAGTAAACAAAAATAAACATGTGTCTGGAAAAAATGTCATTCTACAATTTTAATCTGTGGTGATAAATGAAGAGTTGCTTTTATTTTTGTGAGGATATTTATAGGAGCATGTGCCGAGATAATTTTTAGTTTTAATTATTTAATATAGTGGTATTGTATAGCAGTTTGTTTATATTTTTTATTTCCCTTTTGGATTATTAAAGTATTTTTGAACTGAATTGAATTATTACTAGATGCTAGTTGGTATTTCACACTTGTGCAGTCTTCAATTGCTCTAACAGTTAAAAGTCATTTGAATATTAAATACAGAGTTAAATTTAAGGCTTAAAGTGATCAATGATAAACGAAAATATTGATGCTATTTTTAACCCTTTATAGGGCAGAAATGCTTTGAAAATCCAAACTTCAAGGCAATAGTGTTATTGAAATCAAGGACAAGACCTTGTTACTTTTGAAACTTTCAAAAAAATATGGATATTTTGATGGCAAAAATAAATGTCAATGTAATAACAAGAAATGCCAACTTGCTCGAATATATTAAGAAAAATAACAAAAGTGCTTCTATCAGAAATTCATGAAAAACACTCTGAGAGTGAAAGAAACACATTTATTTTGGTACAACATATCCTTAGAGGCATTAATGCTGATACTGGAACTTATATTTTTTAGGTTATAAACCTAAATATAATTGTTATCTAGGCTTATTAACTTTTTCAATTTACGATTTAACTCTTCAACCTTTTTTTCTTGACTTGATGACTTTTTTTTTTCCAACTTAATTCACAGTAGGTAATATATCATTCAAGCAATGGCGTATATATCGGTAAACAGAGACTGAAGTTGCTTACGGGCCCCCGAACTCTTAGGGGCCCCGTCACTGACACCTGGTAGGCCCTCTTCGCAATTGTGTGGAAGTCGATGTATTTGAGTATTTTATTTTTTACACTGTGACTTGGAATTATGGGTAATCCAGAGTGTTGTACTTTATATGGGGCCCACCCAGATAATTTTGCTTACAGGCCTATTGTTGTGTTGTTACGTCCATTGCATTCAAGGGCTCATTTAATTGGTCAAATGCTTAAATAAGACATACAGCCATGTAGCAGCATCTTTGCTGAATGGCTGGATATAGATATTGTGCTTCTAGACCTCACTGAGGGACGGGGGTCCATTTGTAAGGGGTATGCAAGTGATTAAAAATCACTAACTTGTCCTATAAAGGGTTAACCTCGTGTATAAGTACACATCTTATTTTAACCAGCATGTTAGATTAGCAGTAGCAGAGCTCTCTTTGCGACAGCGCCGCCTTTGTTTATTATGTGAATTGCAGCCGGATCCCACGGAATCATGTTTGTCAAGAAACTCATCATATTCACCTGGACTCTCGCACTGGAGCTGCTGGACTAAGACACACAGCATTTTTGCCTGTTCTCTCATTTAAAACAGGTATGACATTTTTTTCAATGTTACACATGCGGCTATATTGTTTGGGATATTTTTCCTCGGTTGTTTTATTGTTATGTTGGTGCCAGTAATTAAGAAACTATACCAACACACCTGCTTCGGGGAACTGGTAGGCGAAGAGGATTTATTAAACTTCTGCATATATATATATATATGTATAACTGACGATGCACTTCGAAAAACAAACAAAACAGGTAATATACAATTAAAACGTTTGTTTGAAATTAACACGACCTCATTCAAACAAGGAAGTATACCTGCGGTTACTGAATAATCCGGTTTAGACAGCTTGTGAAACAGGTAGTTGTAGTACAAACAATCATTAATTGACTGGAGAGGAAATTATATGTAGAAATGATAATAAAAAAATGTGGAAAGAAAAAGAGCAAAATGTTTGAAGGTTTTACATGGTTATTTTATATCTGATAGATGAGAATTCCTTATACTAGGAAATTGTAGGAACTTTCTTAAATGATAGCATTTGAAAGTCATTTCATTATGTTTTAAAAGTGAAAATATCTTATTACTTGGATACATTGAGCATATTTATGAACACGTTTAAGTTGCGCTTTTATTCTGAAAATCGTTGGACCGGAAGTTGGTTTGTTGATACCGGTGGCAGATCACAATAGTGACCTTTTCATCCTGGCCGCCTGTAGTCCCACTTTAGCGTCGTAAATGTCGTTTTTTTGAAAATAATTTTGCTTTTATTTCCTTTTAATCATGAACAGGACGCAGCTGAAGCGGTCCAGCATTTTAAGGATGGCTCTGTCGGGCTCAGAAACTCTGGAGCAGGGTGAACATGAAGAGTCGTTCATCCTTCGAGCTGTCAAGATAGCAGCTGTGGTCGCACTCTACTGGTTCATCTCCATAACAATGGTTTTCCTCAATAACTTCCTGCTGGACAACCGGGAGCTGGACGCTCCGCTGTTTGTCACTTTCTACCAGTGTGTGGTGACCGTGGGGCTGTGTTGGCTCATGCAGCTCTTTGCTAAATTCTTCCCCGGACTCATCAACTTCCCGTCGGTCAGATTTGACCTGAAGACGTCCCGTGAGGTCCTTCCGCTGTCCGTCGTCTTCATCGGGATGATCACCTTCAACAACTTGTGCTTGAAATTTCTCGGCGTGGCTTTTTACACGGTCGGCCGATCCCTCAGCACCGTTTTTAACGTGCTGTTATCGTTTATTATTTTGAAACAGACCACATCTCTGCAAGCTCTCCTCTGCTGTGGGATCATACTGGGTAGGTCCACTTCTCTCTTTTACTGATTCTACTAAACGTTGCTGATCATTAAATTTTTGTCTGACAATCAGCATTTTCTCAAAGCTATGCATTTGTGTTATTTAATTTGCATGTGTGCAGAGGCGTAGCCAGACATTTTTTATAAGGGTGGCCAGGCAATAACCAATGTGCACTGAGGGGTGGCTGAAAGCGGATAGGCACCAGAACCTCAGGGTCAATCTACACCAGGGATGTAACTTTGCAATAAAAGTTGGTGGGGACGCTCTAAGGGTGGTGGCTGATGGACCTACAGCTACTCAACCCGAACGCTTTCAATAGGGTTTATATTTTCAAAAATGAGTTCAAACATATATTTATTGAATCCTTTTCTATTGGTGAGAACACAAAAGAACTACAGTACACTGATATTTATAGTTATTGACAGATGCCTGCCTTTTAGTGCGTTATTTATAAAGGGGTTCAAAAACATTAATGTATAAAAAATGACCAATAACAGCCGATACTGAAGCCAACATCAAAATATCATGCATCCCTATTAGGGTTGGGTATTTTCGGCAAAGTCCTGAATCGATTCAATTTTGATTCATACAGTTCTAAATCGATTAATTTCGATTTGATCTGTTTTTACAATAATGAAAGTGGTTCAACTGTGTTTCAGAATGCTACTGTATTTTATTTTTTCCTGTCACCTTAAACACAAAGTGCAAACTTGTAAATCAGACAGTTTAAACTTGAGATTTGAACAAAACTGTCTCAAAAGTGCAAACGTATTTGTGAAAAGTGAAAAAGTGAAGCCTCACTCGAGCGAGCAGATGTGACCCAGCAGACGTGAGCTGCATGAGGTGCATTATCTTCACTGAACAAACCATATTTGCAGCGATGTCTGTATCAACTACAGGGTGTTTGCTGGTCAGCACCATTTGTTAATGTCTTCAGTTGACCTATTGGGTATATTTGCAGCTGTCTGGCTTGAAGTAATCTTGAGTGCATCTTTCCTGCTCATTTGAATGTGAACGTCACGCACGTCGCTATAAAACTAATCGATCTTATTCCCTAGACATTGATTTTGCAAAAATGTAAAGGAATCGATTTTTTTTTTTTTACCCAGCCCTAATCCCTAGAATGGACACAACTTCACTTCCATCATTCTATCCATGCATGGCTTCCCTTTAAGCTGCATCAGCAATTATCCTCCTTCACAAGCAGCAAAATCCAATTAAAAATTTGTCCCATATGTCATTGAAAGCCAAAGTCTATGTATCAAACATTATATTTCAAAAATCATTTATACACTGATTTGTAATATTTGTGCTTTAATTCTTAATTTTAAGTCTGTTTCCTGTGAGTCTGGTTGTCTCTGGGTTGGCTGGCACAGCTATTTCTGAATCTTGTTGAATAACAAAAGAAAAAAAGATATGTTTAATTTTATTATAAATTTGCAAATTTTTCCTTGTAAACTCGGGGATATATTTTATTGCATGTTGCATATCCCAGTAAATTTGTTTCACCTTTAGATCAGCAGCTCTCCCTAATTGTGTCTCTTCTCTGCTTAAAATCAGATTTATGAACCTTTCTACCAATAAAATGATACCAGAGAAAATAATTTTCCAGATATCTAGAAGCTCTGCAGTCTGATTCTCTGTTCAATAATAAAACAAAAGATATGTCTTGATTTTAATTTTTAACTCTGAGTAATGGTCCTCTAAGAAGCCCAGCTTTATAACTTATATATAAATGTACAATCTGTTGCCATTTTTAGCAGAAAAAGCTCTGTATGTAATGAACGGATGTTTTGGTGGCATCTCTTATTTTTTTAACCAACCAGTCTCCTAGATTTTACTGGAACATATATCGAAGTACCTGCCAGTTAATATTCACTTTGTGCTACTGTGTTTCTCCTCCTCCACGTACTGTAACTACTCTGTACGCAGTAAATAGCGACCCCAAATAATATTATGTCTTATTTAGTCCTAGTCTTGTTTATGACTTTGCAAGCCAACAAAAAAAGCAAATAAGAGGAAGAATAAACAGTTAAATGGATTTAGATGGGTTTGCACATTGAATTTGGTGAAGGCGTTAAGTACAAGGCGACACCTCAAACAAAAACAGATGCAAAACTGATGCTGACCTGGCAATGATTTCGCTAGGTTTAGATAATTGCAGTTCCTAATACTTTCTGATAAAAGAGCTCTATTTGCTTTAATTTCATTAGTACTGTTGATTTATTTCTTTTAAACAACAAGACAGTAAGATATGTATAAAAGTATACATGTATATCCCAAAGGGTATATAATGTCTGTAGAGGAAGTCATAAAAATAGTAAATATCTTAACAAATTTCATCCTGAAAGCAATTAAGCTGGTGTAGGGGTTCAAACTGACACTGATATGTAAAATCAAAGATCAATGCCCATAAAGGGGAAAACTTTGCTTCTGTTTAATATATATTTAACCTAACTAGTTTTATAGAATTAGTCTAAATATTTCTGCCACTATGGATTAGGCCAATTTTCTCAGACCTATGATATGAATATTGTTCCGTTGAATATTACTATTCAAACTGCACAAGTGGTAACATACGACACATAAAAACGGCTAATGTTTGTGGTTGAATTGCCAGATCTTGTTGGATCCATCAACAACAGCTCAGGGATCAGTGTTTCTGTGCTTAGGACTTTTTAAAATTTACAAATGAGATAAGGCTGAAGCATAATTTGGATATCTGGACATTATCTAATTTACTGGAAATAACCTTTTTTTGTTTGTTTGTTTGGCCTTGTAGCTCTAATATCAACTATATTAAAATATACACTTAGATTAGCATCAAATTTCCCAGATAAAAAAAAAAAAAATGTAAGTGTTAAGACCAGGGTTACTCAATTCCAGTCCTTAAGTTTCGTTGTCCTACACCTTTAAGACGTGTCTCTACTTCCACACCTAAAACGAATGATTAAATTACCTCCTCAGCATGCAGTCAGGATCTCCAGAGTCCTGCTAACAACCTGAGTATTTGGCTCAGGTGTAATAAGAGATGCATCTAAAAGGTGAAGGAAACCTGGAGGGCTGCTATTAAGAAACCTTGGTACCGATTGCACTGTAATTATCTCAATAGTAATAAACACATTTTAATGGGTAGCTTCTTCTTTTTTTAAATAAAGTATAACGTGAACAATTGATGTTGATGGAAATTTATGTATTATACATACAGTTGGCAGCTAGCCTAAAAAGCCTGTATGTGTTGGCATTTAATGTGTGCTCTAGCCTTTTCTACATCTTAAGATAATACAAGGTAGTAATATGTTCAATCCTATAGATGGTAAACTGTAGTCTTTATAGATGCACATTAAGATGAGTATCTTCAGAAGATTAATCAGTGTTGGATATCCTGCCACCGTTTGCTGTCTGTCCCATGATGGAGGCTAAAGCGCTGCTGCAATGTCTTTCAGGGAGTTTATAATTGTTCCAGAAATAGAAAAACTGATGCATTAAAATTTATTCCAGCGATGCAGTTAAGCCATAAGATCGTTGAGATTCCAGTAAATGCAATGTTAATGTACGACCATCTTTTGAATAAAGAGGATACTTGGTCAAAGAAGTATAAAAACAGAGATTCTGAAAAGTCCTAAGCACAGGAAACTGAACCATGGGCTGGTGTTGCCTGTTCAGTCTGCAGCTAGCAATTTGTACATTTGCATAGTTTATTATTATTTGTGTAGTTTGAATTGTGTACATCTGAGAAACTCTTTACACATCTGTGCACGTTGAGGTGTGTATCTGTGTATTTTTTGACACGTACAATTTTGAAATCAGTCGTACATTTAACAAATCTTGTTTTACATTTGTGATTATTATTTCATGTAGATGAAGTTTGCTGTGTGGTTTGTGAAAGTTTTTGAGAATATAGCCTCATTTGCTCTACCCTTTTGAAACCGTTCCAAGATCGGTCCAAGCACGTTAACAGAGATACTTGGCAATACCAACACCACCATTTTAGTGTTGCATCGGGGCCCTGCCCGATACTGGTATCGGTATCTGTGCAACACTAATGATAATAAAAGTCTTAGAAAGTACATGTCACCGATTATTACAATGCTTTATTGAACTGGTTGCCTTAATTTCCTTTCCTTCTTTTTCTATTTTACATTCATTCATTGTGTTGCAATTAGATGTTATACATTAATTAAAAAATAGAAAAATAACTACTGGTAATAATAAGTACTGGTCTCTCTTTGAAAACACTGTTTCTGATGCTATTGTCATATATTTTCATCTTAAAATCAGCTTTTCTTGTTTGGTGATGTCTCCATCCTTAATGTTTGACTTTTGTCTTTCAGGTGGATTCTGGCTCGGTGTGGACCAGGAAGGCCTGACTGGATCCCTCTCTTGGTCGGGCGTGTTCTTTGGGGTTCTGGCGAGTGCCTTTGTCTCTCTTAATGCCATCTACACAAAAAAGGTGATGCCTGCTGTGGACGGAAGCATCTGGAAGCTGTCTTTTTACAACAACATCAACGCATGTGTGCTCTTCCTTCCTCTCATCCTTGTGTTCGGGGAGGTGGGCAGAGTAGCCAGCTTTAGCCGCTTGACGGACCTCAGTTTTTGGGGGATGATGACGCTTGGAGGAGTGTTTGGTTTCGCCATTGGCTATGTCACAGGCCTGCAAATCAAATTTACCAGCCCGCTAACCCATAACGTCTCAGGAACGGCAAAGGCTTGTGCGCAGACCGTTATAGCAGTGGTATACAACCAGTCCAGTAAGAGTCTGCTATGGTGGACCAGTAACATGATGGTTCTTGGTGGCTCTTCAGCCTACACATGGGTCAAAAGTAGAGAGATGCAAAAAACTGCACCAAGAGGGCCTCAGGACTCTGCTAAGGAAAAATTGCTACCTGGGGAGAAAGATAACCCTGAAGTTTAAACCCCATTGGGTAGTACGTACCTCCTTCCTAAAATGGCGTAAGAATGTGAAATACTTTTACATTGAAAAATGATTGGAATTTTGATTTAAATGACGAAACGGTCTGTTTAAGAGATTATTTATATTCTGTTGGCTTTTTTCTACTGTTTTTTACTCTGATTTTTTTTCCCTTTCATGTTCTAGTATATGAGGAAAAGGGGAAGAGAAAATAACTCTGTTAAAAAGAGATTTATAGCAATATAGATTGGGGTCTTTGTTAGCTAATTATCTTTATATTTTCTATACTTTTTGGAATTTCTAAAAATCAACTGTGGCTTGAATACTTTCATGAAGAAATTGTTAGATATTTTGTTATCTATTATTTTAGGTTTTTGTCACTTTTGAACAGCTTTTGGGTGAAATGAACACACTGCATACTGGGGGATTTAGTAGTTTTATATAAAGGAACAAGAAAGCTAAAAAAGAGGCCAGCTTCTAGTGGACCAACTGTCTTCATCTACAAAGTTAACCCCCCATCAGGCTTTATGTTTTACAGTTCTAAATTGATCATTATCTGCTTCGTATTTTTTGACCAAGGATAGTTTTGAATTTTAATTCAAACAGCCATTCCTGTTGAGTCTATTCTTTTTCATCAACCAAAGCCTGTGAAGAGGAAGGATAATTGACACTGCCTTTGGGTAACTGTCTTTAACTGCACTACCTCTTAAGTCGTGGTATTCAAAAAGGTTGGTTATACATCACAGGGCATTTTTTTCACCTTAAAAGCAAAAACGTGGAGTAATTTCTAACTTATTGCACCCTTCTAACTTATCAAACCAGTGTCAACTAGAACTTTCTTATAGGAAACTGTACATTTTCTTTCAGTCATTGTATGACTGGTTTTGAATATACTCTATAAATAAATGTAGTATTTTGACATTCTTGTCAAATACAACTTCTAAGACTTTGTGTGGTTCTTCTGCGTGTTTTTTTTTTTGTTTTTTTTTTTTTTTAATGCTCCATCAGCTTCCCTCAGTCTACAAAGCTGCACATTAATCCACAGGAAACACACTTGTTACCATTTTAAAGCTTTGATTTGCTGATTTTCTTTCCCAGGAATAATCTACTGTAAGTGTGTTCAGGAGTTTATTACCGTGCTCAGTAAAAGAAATTTTGAGGTATTGCATTCATGATAAAAAAAACTTCATATATTAAAAAATAATTCTGAACTAGGTGAAAAACAATTTGGTACAAAATCAAGAAGAAACCAAACAACAATAGTGTTTTAACCAAAAAACAATGATGGTAAGGTTGAATATATTTACAGTTCTGTATAGACAGCAGTGTTAAGTGGTTTCTAAATTGAATTTGATAGCCATCAATTGACAAATACTTCCCTCAAAAGGTAATTTGAATTTATTGTCAAGAGCCAGTCTTCTCTGTTTGTTTGGCTGTTTAAAATTACAGCTGCCTTAATAATGGGTGAGGTTGACGAGACGTTGACTTTGGATGCTGCCCATCCACAGCACCGCGCTGCAAACAGTAAAGAATCTTAACTTCTCAAAGTCCTGCTAGTCCCTTAGTCTGTACAGCTTCGTATCCGTTGTATCTCTAATCCTGTAAGTGAATCCAAATGTATCATAGACTGTGTATTTACTTAATCACGCCCACTTTTCATCCAAGGAGGGTAACAGTGTTCACATATTCCTATTTTTCCTGAAATATACAATCAGTGTTTTGTCCACATTCAAGATACGATTTTCTGCTCCAACATCATATGAACAGGAATCCTAATGTTCTTTTCTTTAATGCCCAAGTTAAATGTGCTTTTAGTTAGAGTTCTATAACTGGATTTGCATTTAAATAGCCTTTTTTGCTGAATATAATTTGACCTTTCAGTTCTTGACATTTTTAAATGATTAACCTCCACTAGTAGAACAAGGTTGTAGAAAAAAGAATACTTTAGTATAATGAGGTGGTGTGTGAGAACATATCAGAATTGTGATATAAAGTGCACATTAGTAATGCTATATCAGCACAATCACAATGTTATTACACGTGAAGCTTGGGTAGAGTTAATATAGAAATGATATGATGTCATCTGTAGGTAAAGTTCCTAATTTGCACAAAATAAAAATCAGTATATACGTTGATAAAAGGAAGTATATTCTGTTGCTGTTCATCTTGCACCGCATCTGGGGAAGCCTTTGACTGAAGACACTGTTGTTGATTTACTGTTTGTTTATGACCAGTTATTATTTGAAAATCACTTTCACAAGATCTTTTCTACATTTCTTCTATTTTTAGGTAAATCTGCTCTGTGTATATGACATAATGATTCATATGTCTTATAAGGAGGGCTCCTTGAATTTAGTCTAAATCTTTTTTTTTTCTTTGCCCTGGAAAGAGTTTTGTTAGCAGCAGGGGTGGATTTAGGAAATATGGGGCCCTAGGCAAAGACAGGCAGGGGGCCCTCTGAATTGAGAAGACAACACATAAAAGAGACCCATTATACAGATACACAAGTTTTAATAGACATACATTATTTGTTCTACATTTTGTCTGTGTCTTCTTGTTCCTTTTCTTGTAGTTTTCCTCTCTATGTTTTGTACTCGGCTGACTTTTCATGCTGTCTCAAAAGGAATGAAAGCACTAAGTTTACTTAGCTGATTGCTCCTTCCACTGTTTCCAAAAAGACAAAGGAAAAAGTAAATACACAAAAAAGGAAAAGTTGTATTAACCATACATGTAAACCGAGTTTTATGGGGCCCCCAGGAACTGGGGGAATAGGTTACCGCCTAGTGTTGTAATCCCCACCCTGGTCATCAGACACCAGTGGTAGATATCTGAGCCTTTGTCACAAATTTGCCTCTGTTTTTTATTAAGTATACAATTACCATCTTCCATCTCACTATCTCAGATTTTTATGTTTTAAATTTCGGTTTGGGATTTTAATAAGTTGCTTTTCTGCTCCCAAAATTCTTCTTCTTGTGGTCATAAAGTAAAATTCAAAGTACTTTTTGTCTATTTTTTATTTTTCAAACCAAAATGACTAAGAATTTACCAGCTTACTGTAAGGGCTTTAGTTCAATCAGGAGCAGACCTGACATACAGGCAGGGTAGGTAACCGCCTGCATCCCTCTATGAGAAAAGGCCCTGATAGTGAGGGGCCTCACTGGTTGTCTGTCCCCCTAATAGTACCACTGGAATATTTATGTATGCTTGAAGTGAAAGAAAATTTAAAGAATATACGATTTACTTAAAAACAATAATAAAAATTGTGACACAATACATGATGGACTTTTCCTCCATCACTTTCCATGTGCTAAAATAAACTAATCCATCTCATTCCATAACATACTCTCAAATATAGTGTGTGGCTTGAGCAAGAAGCCAGAGAGATAAAAAAAACAAAAAACTTTTACATTTAATCACTACCTGTTCCACCCTTACCACACAATGACTGAGATCAAGACAGAAACAATTATTTAATAGTCATCTGTGTAAGCACCTCAAACAGGGCTGCAACAGGGGACACAGCTCAAGAGAAGCATCAGAGCTATCGTCAGAGTTGGAGTCTGGTGTGTGTTTGTGCACATATGAGCAGGTTAAACCAGATAAACTAAACTGAGGCAGTAAAACAACCAAGGCTGACTCAGAATGGGCTAATTATTGACTTTAGATAACTACCAACTCACCCTGCAAGGCAAGAGCTGAGGTTTACGCTTATCGTCAGTGTCTTCATGAAGAACAGAAAATGGAGCACTTTTAACCTAAGCTACATAAGCTGTGGCTCTAATAAAAGTAAAAAAAAAAACATACCTTTCATCTGTTAACTGTTTTATTATTGCAAGTAATATGTGTAATTTTCATACTATAACCAAACTCATAAAACAAGTTTGCAGTTTTTGTCAAAGTAAACCTACATACTATTTAATGTATAGTTCTTCATAACATGTTAATGTTGATAACAGAAAAATATGACGGTATTAGAAAGGTCCATGATAAGACTCTGTTATAATTTGCAGGTAAACCCCAAAAGTAATTCACAAAAAGTGTCTTACAGTAAGGACTTGAAAAATAGTTTACATGCTCAGTTGTGCTGTAAAATTCTGCAGCTATTAGATGCATCAAAGACGAACGAGAAGCTGAGAACAGGAAGCGGATGAACCACTCTGTGGCATGGTGGAAACAATCATCTGATCCTGAATGACGACAAAACAAGGGAGATGAAGGTAGATTTCAGAAGAAACAGGAAGTTGTTCTATAAGTCTGTTGTGGAGAATGGG